GGGGTTCTGGGAGGGGGGAGGCCGGTGGCGTCGGGCGTGCCCCCCAGAGTGCCGTCTGGGCGCCAGCCTCCGCAGCCCGCCCGCCATTGTCACAGTGACGGACGTGGACGCACTGTACACACCACTAATGATGTGGGTCACCGTGGCCCCGCGCCCCGCCCCTCTCTGCCCTCTCGCCGATTCGTTTTCGGCTCCATTTATTCGGAATCAGATCGGAATGCATCGCGAGGCGGCACGCCGGGCTGCCGGGCCCCGAAGCAGCGCGCGAACAGGCGTCGTCGCCACCACTACCTGCCCCCTTAACAGGAGTCCGAGGGAGGTGCAGTGGGGGGGGGCGGCGCCGGGCAGGGAATTCCAATACTTTGCTCCAGTAGTCAGTGATTTTGTCCCGATTCTTCAGCGGGGAAGTTGGCAACATTGCGTGCGACGCGGTGGTGGGCCTGGTGTGAGGTGAGGGCGGGGTTAGGTAGGGTAGGCGGTAGGCGTCGCGGGGAAGGGTGGGTCCCCTTGGCTGCCTTGGCCTGAGCCGCCAGCCTGTGCGCCGTGCGGCCGTGCGCCCGCCGGCGCTCTGACGGAAGCGTCCATTGTCTAGCGAGCCATGTCGCCATGAGAACAATCGCCCAAGTTTAAATTCATGCAGCGATACAGCGGCCGGCCGGGCTCCCTCGGCTCGCTCGGCTCCTCCCCGCGCCGCAGCCGCACCCAGTAAGCGGGGCGGGCGCTCACCAGAGCCAGCGCCAGCCAGGCGGGGTCCGCATGCGGTACGCCTCATTAAAACCTCATAACCTCAGACCGCCCCCCCCCCAAAAAAAAAAAGTGAAAAAACACAAAAAAAGCATGACAGCATTTTTTTTTTTTTGGTTGATTATAGTTTTTGTGGTCAGGTGTTGTAGTTTTTGTTTTTGTTTTTCTCATTTTTATTGCACTATGGATGTTGGATTCCCTCCATTCCACGCTGTTTCAGTTCCCGTCTTTTTCATCCCCTTCTTCCCCTCTGCTTTCCTTCTCTCTCTTTCTGTGCCCCTTCTTTCACGACGCCATCTCCCCCCGCTCCCCTTGGCCTACCCCTCCCTGTCACCACGCAGCTGACAGGTTGGCAAGCCCGCTCTGCTCGGGCCACTCGCCACGACACAGGACGCGCCGTATGAATCACACATACCGTCTGTTTCATTCAGTAACATAAAATAATTATTATTTGAGAAACTTCCCGTATCCCCGTTGCTTTCGATATCGCAAGCTCGTGAAGGCTGCAAAGCTACCAAGGAAACAACGTGGCGAGAGAGCCCGCCTACGAGGTGCGGCTGCGCATGAGATGCCGAGGCGCTGAGGGACGATTTAAGGCGCACATGAGGCACCAGGAGCCAGCGCCGCCCGCCAACACCTCCGCCACGCTCGAGGTTCACACGGACCAGGGACGGCCGAAGCTCGGCAAAAGCCTCATAGGCAAGGCCACGACAGCGGGCTGGGCTGGCACGAGAGAAAGAGGAAAGAAGAAGGGGGTGAACAGGGGGAGGGAGGGAGAGAGAGAGAGAGAGAAAAGGGAGGGACAGCAGGCGAGGGGAGGAGGGAAGGACAGGAGGAAAAAGATGCGCGGCGAGGAAACGGCCAGGGAAAAGGGGGCGGGGAGAGAGAGAGACGGCACGCGTGACGTCACTCAGGACGCCATGACTAAGACGTCAGGTACGCCGGCGGCCACCGCGGCAGTACCCACCGCGGCCGGGCCATCAACAGCCC